TCGCCAAGAACTACTACTGGCCGGGCGTCGGCGAGCCCTCCTCGGCGGAGGAGGCCGCGGTCAATCTGGAGGCCTTCGCGGCGCTGCCCGACGACCTCAAGCAAGCGGTGCAGTACGCCTGCGAATCGCTCTATTACGTGGTCACCAGCGAGTACAACACCAACCACGCCAAGGCCCTCAAGCTGCTGGTCGAGGAAGAGGGCGTGCAGGTCAGGAAGCTGCCCGACGAGGTCATGGTCGCGCTGGGCAACGCGGCCGGCGAGGTGATCGCCGACCTGCGGGGCGACGAGGACGAGCTGGTCACCCGCATCGTCGAATCCTTCCTTGCCTACCGGGCCTCGATGGCGGACTACAAGCCCTACGCCGACCAGGGGCAGATGGCCGCGCGCGGGCTCGACTTCGACTACGGCGGCTGAGCGGCCGAGCCGCCGGGGCGGCCGCCCCGCTTGAAAGCGGCCGGCGGCGGCGGATCGCGATTGCCGCCGCCGGCCGTCCGCGCCTGTCCTGGTGCCCGGAGACCGCCGGGCCGCAACTTCAAAGAGCTCAGTCTCCGGGGGGCTGAACCGCCATGCTGAAGCTGGCCGCAGGTCTGGAGGCGGTGAACCGCACGCTCGGCCGCTGGGTGCGCTGGGCCGCGCTGGCGATGCTGCTGCTGCAGTTCGCCATCGTGGTGCTGCGCTACGTCTTCGGCATGGCCTTCATCTTCGCCCACGAAGGGGTGCTCTACCTACACGCCACGCTCTTCATGCTGGGCGCCGGCTACACCCTGCTGGCCGACGGCCACGTGCGGGTCGACATCTTCTATTCCGAGATGGGCGCGCGTAAACGCGCCCTGGTCGACCTGCTGGGCAGCCTCTTCCTGCTGATCCCCACCTGCCTGGTGCTGCTGGTCTTCACCTGGGGCTTCGCGGCCAAGTCCTGGGCCATTCTGGAGGGGCCGATCTCGGTCGGCGGCATCCCCGCCTCCTTCCTGCTCAAGAGCCTGATCCCGGCCTTCGCCCTGCTGCTGCTGGTCCAGGGCCTGGCCCAGGCGCTGAGCAGCGCGGCGCGCCTGGTCGGCGCCGGCCCCGAGGAGCGCTAGACCGCACCATGCTGGACAGCCTCGACCTGGTCATGATCGCCGCGCTCTGCCTGGGCATCCTGGCCGGCTACCCGGTGGTCTTCACCCTGTCCGGCAGCGCCGTGCTGTTCGCCCTGCTGGGCCTGGCGGTCGGCGCCTTCGACATCGGGCTGCTGGGTGCGCTCAGCACCCGCGTCTTCGCGATCCTGACCAACGAGGTGCTGGTCGCCATCCCGCTGTTCGTGCTGATGGGGCTGCTGCTGGAGCGCTCGCGCATTGCCGAGGAGCTGCTGGAGGAGATGGGCCGCCTGTTCGGCGCCCTGCGCGGCGGCCTGGCGGTCTCGGTGATCGCGGTCGGCGCGCTGCTGGCCGCCTCGACCGGCATCGTCGGCGCGACGGTGACCACCATGGGCCTCATCGCCCTGCCGACCATGCTGCGGCTGGGCTACGACAAGCGCCTGGCGGCCGGCACGGTCTGCACCGCCGGCACGCTGGGCCAGATCATCCCGCCCTCGACCCTGCTGATCATCCTG